CTTTATATAGGAGTGAATACTTACGCGAAGTGCCCAAAGTACCCCAATCGGTGGACCTAGAAGGTCCAAAATGCCCTGGTCGATTCGTCTCCCCTTAGTGCTGAGTCACCGCAAGATTCCTTCTTACCTGTCATGATATGTAGGATTTAGAGTATATTGCAAGTATGATGAATCGTCATCACATCTTTGTCGTTTAAGGTATGCGATGTCGACTTCGAGACCTAGGAAGTCGACTCGTTAATATGTGCGGGTCCGGAGGCTACGTTTGACTAGTTCTTTGAGACGGAGTCGTCTTCAGAGGGTCGTCTTGGTTCAGTCGACTTCTGGGGGTCGACTTAGAGTATCTGGATGACTAGGAGCTTGGCCGTTCCTCTTTCATTGATGTCGATTAGAGAAAGTCGGCGGATTAAGGTCGACTTGCAAGAGTCGACTGGATCAATCTCGGCCTCTTCTTGATTGCTCTTAGTAGACCAACCTTTGGGAAGTCGATTTGGGGCATGTCGACGGGGCCATGTCGACGTGCGGGTAATTCGAGTGGTTCGCCGTTTGAGTAATAAGCTTCTAGACCGGGTTATCCTTATGGGGCCATATCACTATATGACACAAAATTAAATCGAATCCCGAATCATGAATGTCATTAATCATGATTTGCAAACACGAAATTTAGGATGTCATAAAGCAAATATTATTCTAAGTCCAAATTGGCATCTTTAATCTACAGTCAACATAACGGGTCCAGGCAAACAAGCATACACTTGCACAGTAATCATATTGATCAGCAAAAGCAACCCATATGATCAATGCATGCAATTCGGCCCTAATCCGATAAATTTAATACAGACATCCCAGAGTATCCAGATATCAACAGCAAAATTCAGTCTTTAAATATATGTCGAGCAAAACTGTAGATCCCAAGAAGAGAAGTCCAAATCATAATAATCCATAGATCTAGCAGACGATGACTGCTCTGATACCACTTGTAAGAATTTATAATCACATAATATAAATTCAATAACAATTACCTAGATCATGCTTCAATTCTAGGAAAATCAACATCGCGCTAGATTATAGATTATAAAGATTATAAAGAATATCTGATCAATTGAGATTGTGTCTAGATGCGGAATACCTTATCATCAATCTCCAAATCTTATCTCTATGACTGTTGACATGAACACGATAATCTGGATCACGAACACGTCCTCGATCATGAACGGGATTGGTTTTATGGCCTTCCTCAGTTAAATCGCCTTATTCCTCATATGGGACCGTCATACTCAATTCAGATGGGGAGAAAAGAGAACTATGTTTGAGTTAGTATGTTGGGGACCATAACCAAGAGGGTCTTTATATACTACTAGGGTAGGTCACCCATTATCACCTAACCCTAATAATATTAGGTATCCATTCAGTTAGCCCATATCAATTTACGTAGCTCATGAACTCTACTTTATTTAGATCACTTGAATGAGTCCATTAGTTAATTGAATAGCTAATATAATTGTATATAATATGTTTCCCATAATTAGATTATATATAGGAAATAAAATATTTCCTAACAAAAACAACTAAACTAAAGTGCCAAAATGTTTAAAAATGTCATGATCTGTTGTGCTAACACTTGTATTTGTCTATTTGAAATCATAAAATTAATTACATTCACTGATTAATAAGTTAAGTTATTAATTTTGATATTTGTAATTTTAAATCGTAAATTATAAAATATGTAAGAATAGAAATCTATAAGGTTGTAGTAATAAGTTTTTGCGGTTTTGCTATGGAGTCATTCGATGGCTTGACTTATGGAGCCATCCATAGTCATTCGTTGTACTGACACGTGTCCTGCATTAAGTACACATTGGACATGTGTCAGTATATAAAGTTATGGATGACTCTATAAGGGAGCCATCCGATGGTTCCATAGAATTTTTGTAAGTTTTTGTATTTGTAGGATTGATATACAAATTAAATAACTATATATATGGAGTTGAAACTAAATACAAATATTATTTCATAATTTATTAAATTAATTTTTAATTTTAAATTATAGTAATGGCATGATTGATATAATGGAATGGAATTTCGGAGAAATGGAATGAATTGAAGAATTGAATGATTATGAGAATGGAATTAAACAAATTTTTTCACTGATGCGTTTGATATGTAGAAGGAATAAGACTTGAAAGGAATGACATTCTCAGTTTTTATTATAAAAATAAATAAAAGTTTTTTTTAAATAATATATTTTTAATAAATTATATATAAATGATTTTTTTAATAATATAAAAATAAAAAGTAACATATTTTTTAATTATATACTTTTATTTTTTAATTAAACAATAAATAAAAGTAAGTTTTCAATTTTTTTATTTGAATTTTATTTTTTAATATAATATTTTTTTAATAATATATAAAAATAAAAATTAATATATTTTTAATAATATATTTTTAAAATATATATAAATGCTTTTTTTAGTTATTTTTATATAAGTATTTAATATATCTAATTAAACAATAAATAAAAGTAAGTTTTTAATTTTTTTTATTTGAATTTTATTTTTTAAAATGATTTTATTTAATATATTTTAATAATAATTTATAATATATAATATATATTTATTTTATATTATTATTTGTTAATTTTATTTTTTAAAAAATTGATTCCACACCTAGGAATGAGAAAACCTTCCATTAACTATGAAATGGCTAATCTCATGAAGATGGGTTTTGCCATATCATTCCTTTCTAAAAAATATGCACCCTAAGGTCCCTAAAAAGTAAAAACAATCCTAACTAATTCAACAATCCTTTTCCTAACAATTAGGGTGAAATCTTAACATAAGCTCTTTTTGGCCTATAAATACACGCAACAAACCAAACCCAAATAATTAATTAATTAAGCTGCTTTTTGATTGAATCGATTTGTATTTGATAAAAAATTATCCCCAAAACATGATTTCCTCTGCTCGGATAACGACGATCATCCTTGTCGTCTCCTTGATATTTTCTGCCGCCTCAGCGGTGGGCAACGATGAAGCTCCGGCGGATGATAGACTAGTCCAGCATTACCTGAGGTGCATGACCACGACTAAACTCGAATTACACAAAATCGACGACCAGTCGTGCTATATCTTTTTTAAGTATTTGCCACTTGTGAAAGTAGTGCCGCCTGCCTATGTAAAAGCTCTCTCCATCGTCTACGACAACAACCAGACGCGGGTTGATCTCGATCTCTGCAAAACCAATCCCGATCTTTGTTCGGACCACACAGCGAAACTCGTCGACGCCTACAAACATGATGTAAGTTGCAATTAATTTTTTTTTTTTTATTGTGTGTTATCCATTTTTTTTTTTTTCTGTATGGAAATCGGGTTTAATTAATTTTATGTTTTTTGTTGTACTGATGACGATCAATAGGAGCGGGTGTGGAAGTTTTCAAGAAAGTGCAGTATTAGATGATGAGTTGGATCGGCGTTTTTTCAGATAAAAATTTATGTGAAGATACCAAATATTATGAGGTTTAGGTTTGGGAGATTGTGAAAAATAAATTCGGTGACAACATTAATAATCAATATTGTTTGTTTGTTGGATTTCTGGTTTCTAGTATTAAAATTTCTTTTTCTTATCTATTTTTCGCATGGAAATAATTGGGTTTTGGTTGATTATGTGTTTCTTATCTAACTGTTCTCAGATTGATGTCTCTCACGTACTACCATTACTTATGTATCTAGTCTTTATATTACGTGGAGTTGTGTGAATTGAAAAGTCCCTTATAGTTACAATCTGCATATATAATTTATGGTGTTAACAAGTTGCACCACCTGATTAACAATTGAACACCTAATCAACCATCACCATATTCGAGTCCGGACAAACTGATCACACCCATGTTACGTACACACTCATATTTAGGATTATTAAGTTAGAATAACTAACCTTGTGGTTTGTCTCATTACTAAAAACCCTCAATTGCCTTCCCAACTTACAAAAACACCCCTCATATACTATTTACTCAACAAATGTAAATGCCCGAGTATTTGAAAACTTGAACAACACAGTTTACTTAAAATTGTATTTTGTTCACGCAAATTGCATTTTGTTCATGGAATCGTGTGAACTTGGGATATGACGCAGATATTTCCATTACTATTCCTCAGTTTTGGCAAATTTCACTCAATAAAGTGTATTGAACTCCACGAGTAGAGCTCTAAAGGAGCCGAACCGAGCCAAGTCAAGCTTTTGATACTCGAAATCAGGTCAAGCCTTTACCGATCTGAGATGAGACCGGCTTAACAGTTGACGAGCCAATAAACGAGCTAGAATGCGGCTCATTCATCAATACTAACTAGCCAATAAACAAACTCGCGAACGCAGGTTGTTCATCAATACACAAGCCAAGATAAACCTAAAAGTTTAGAAAATTACATAACCCGCATAATTTCAAGCTTAACAAGCCTTGACGAACTCGGCTTGTCTAGCTTGAGCCTTAATGAGCATTTTTGGGCGTGATTAGATATGAATCCAACTGATTTTGGTTGATTAAAATGAATTATTTTGAATAAAGTTGATTGAGTGGATGATTTTGAGTTCGTAACTAAAAAAATATTTAAAATGTAATGATTAAAGTTAATTTGATGTCAAAGTATGAAATAGCGTATTGAAAGTAATAAGTAGTTAAAGATATATGAGTAGATAAATATTAAATTAAAATTGATGAGATGTATGAAAATGATTGATTGATATTATTTAATTATATTTTTTAAAAATATGAAAATTAAATTGAGTTTAATTTTAAGTTAGAAGATTGAAAACAAAATAACTCAACCGGTTAAAAAAAATTAAAACCGGTTATGATCCATATCCAATCATGCCCTTACAACTTTATCCACAAGCTACACAAACAGACAAATATTTCCTGTTCAAAGATATTTGCTACAATCACTGTACCCGTTTGAGATCAACATAAAGACGCTTGCAAGAAGGTATATTTCAATAAATATTGATTTCATGCATATAAATAACTTGAACAAAGTTCATGGAGCTAAATTAAAGAATACATCAATACAACAATCCTCAGGTGTATCGACTATAAATATGTCCAATAACATACGTAGCCAGGTATCTCGTGTCACACTATTTCACGATCTGCAAATAATATGAGAAGAAAGTAACATATGAATTTTAAGGTCCACAAAGATAAATCCAACTAATGTTACCCGATATTACCATCATGCGGAATGTGGAGGCGTAGCTAACAAGCAGAAACACCAATCACAGCGTTCAAACAACGAAAAGTGTAATTTACATCTTGTATGTTATTGTCAGAATAAACCCAAGGAGTATGAAAATGAAACTACTTGAAAAAATGCGTTTCAAACATAACTGGGCATTGTTTCTTCTGATGGTAGGAACTTGCTTTTTGCTCCAAACAAGTCGGCTAATTGCAAGACGAGTTCTTGGCAAGTGGGGCTAATGGGTGACACGACTTCCGGAAGACAAGGCATGCATTCGGGTAGAAATTCCGGCTTGTTGAAAGATGGGGCGAAAAGAGATAACACTGCCCGAGTAAATACAAATCTACAATAGTCAAGAGAATATAATCTTTAGCATTCATTTTGAGCAGATAATTCTTGCAACATGAAACTGAAGTAAATTACACAGCACAGAGAGAGAGAGAGAGAGAGAGAGAGAGAGAGAGAGTCTAAGAATATTGAGAAGTCAGAACCCGAACATGAATAATACAATGCATCACATAAAAGCCTCAGATCAAAATGCAGCAAAACTAGCCTATAGATTATATCAAAATCATACTCAGCAAGTGTGTATATCTTCATCTTTAAATACTACGCGGAAGGTTAATTGCAAGTGCCACCAATAGGGGGAGTATATAAAGGAAACAGCTCATGCCGGCTTTTGTAATAACCTTCAGGGCATGGTAATTGCAATTTTGAAAACAATAATTGGGTTTTTCTACAAGTAGGTTACTAGCGCACAACTCGAAAAGTTTTTGTAATTATCCTTTAAGCAAAACTGAGTTACCAACTGTATGAGAAACATCAATTTGCTTAAGCACTAGAGGTACCTTAAAAGGAGTCGTCTCAAGAATGGATCACCTAGAATTTGGGCCCACACAGGATCGAGATTAACTGCAGTAGCCAATAACGACCCAAGTTTACTTAATGAGGACTGGAGCAGCTTATCAGCTCCACTGTACAGGTCCTGAAAACCAAACAATCACCTCAAGAAGATAAAACAAACAGAGAAATATGAAGTAATGAACAAAGGCAACATTGCAATAATAACCACACATTTTCTATGTCAGAGCCAGAAAACCCAAGTAAAAGAACAAAGGACTGCAAAGGAGCTGTCAGAAAACTCGTGAACAAGCTTCCATTAGATTGACGATAGGATTCTACAGCTGGCAAAGGTAATGATGTGGCTGGGGATAGTAGAACGGCAACCGGCTCTCCTTTTTCTGCTCCACTCATAGCCTGTCCACGCATCATGCTTTTACTTTAGTTAGTTTTAATTGCATAAAAATGCTAATTAAGCAATGCATTATATTCATAACCCATAAAACCCATTCTAATAACACATCCCAAGTCGCTCATAGTTTTTGAACCATGATATGCAAGCATTAATACTAAATGTATAGGAAGAAGAGGTACGCATTATTATATATTGGCTTTCAAGTATACTAAGCGTTTGGGTATAAAATTGACGATACTAAAACCACTGCTACACCACATTAGAAGAGAGGAAAACTAATGTGGCGCATGAAAAGCAAATAATTTCTGGAACCCGATGCCAAATCCCACTTCAAAGCGACAATAACAGAAATCAGTGAAATAAGATTTTCACCCACTGCCCAAATTAAATACTAAGCTAGGAATGCATTCGGAGTACTGTGCACAAGCTAGAGATTCCACAAAAGAAAGCTAGTTGTAGTAAAGACTTACCTTGAAGGCTTTACTATTTTCACTGTCAATGATTACAAACAGGGGCCTTCTAGTGAAGGGCAGTAAATCAGAAGGATATATGCAGTTCGTGCCTGAAACAAAACAATATATTACTCCTTATCACATACTTGATCAACGTAAGTACAAGTTCAAATAACATTTCATTTCTAGTACAAGCACAAGCTTAAGAATACCAACTTTAAAGATTTGGGAAAAAAGTTAGAACCGTTGCTCGAAACAAGAGATATCATGATGGTAGTTTTAAGATACCCACACAAAACCTCAAGCGTTAATATTTCCCAGTTATGGAAGATATAAACATTTAATATAATAATGAACCAATAAAAAGAAAGTGATACTTATACTACCTCCATGTCCACGAGGTCCAAGATGTAAGCAATCAGCCGTATCACCAGCACGATCTACTGAATCACTATAACAATTAACTGAGCTAGAGTCAGTGTTGCTGGAGTGAAACTGAAAGCCCCTTACTATGTTTTCTGTGTAAACAGAACTCCCAGCACGAGACGGAGATGATGTAGCACGTGAGCTGTTTCCTGTATACGATCATTTTAGACATATTTGACCCAAGAATTAAAATACCTGTTAAAGAAATAACAAGAAAATCTTAGGCCTAGTTTTTAATTACCTGATGTTGAAACATATATCAAGAGTATTCCATCAGGAGGAAGCTCCTCGCAAACCGTGCCTAAGACCTACAAAGTATCAATGCCACATTCTCAAATGAAAATTTATGTATTTAATGGACTGTACAACTGAATAGTCTGAAATCAGGGCCCACTTGACTGGCAGCATGCTGAGTTCTCCATCAATAAAATTACTTCTTTTCATTTCTTTCATTTATTGGGTCCATTACAAACAAAGAATGCAATTGTACGAGTTTAAAAGCACATTAATATTGATCTCAGTAGTTTTTATAAGGTCGGTGAGACTTAAGGAAGAGGGTTATGATTAAACACTCTTCACTGGCATTATTTGCAGTAAGCTCGGCCAAGATATGATTTAGCACTCCACTATATTTACGACAGTACCGTGTATGTATATATATCAATTATTTACACAAGGATATAATCATAGTTTTATAGTAGCATAGGTAAGGAACAAAGAAATTGGTTAAACTCACTGCCATGAAATGAGTGACAGATGGGCGGAATAAGATGGCTTTCCGTGGGTTTGGTGGCAAAATAGGATCAGTTATGTCCTGATTGACACGACTAGGCCCTGAAACCCCATTTTGACTGGCACCAGATCCTGTTCCACTTGAGGTAGCAATAATTCCCGGGTAAAATGAACCACTGGGTTCCCATTCTAAACTTTGTAGCATCCTAAATGTGTCAAGTGTGAGCTCTGAAAATTTGACCTGATTAGCAACAAAAGAAGAGTATATGAAATCTTGATTTTGTTCAAAACTAGCACCTAAAATATCATTATTCAAACACGCAAGAAAAAATAAGTAAGGATGGAGTTGTGAACCAGGAACACCACTCAGAAATATTCCTCGTTGAAAAATTAAATAAACAGAGCAAACCTCGTTAGGATGGTAGCTGCACAACAAAGCATCTCTCAGTCTTAGTTTCCTCTTTGCATCCACAACATGGGGGAACGCATCTGGGTGAAGATCCAACACGATACTATACCTCAAAGGCCTGATATTCATAAAAGCTGTGTCAGCTTTCAGGAATTTAACTATCTCCTGTATCACGAGCTTCCACTCTTTAAAGTCCATTTCCTGGAAACAAGCACATATGTGTGTAATTCAACTGTCTCGGATCGAACTGTAGAAAAATCATGTCACACAAAGACTGCTATTATGATTCGAGTATTTCTATCAAAGCATAGTGGCTAGTTTATATTAAAAAAAAAAAATATTGAATCATGACATGTATCATCATAGAGAAAAGCCTCATACGGCTCATACGCATGTCAAACCCTGTAAAATACAACTCTTAATTTTTATAAATGAATTATCATATACAAGCAATGGCATGTTCCAACATTTATGTGTCATAATGACACCAGAGAAGACAGCTTCAATTCCACTTCATTACTGAGGCATGACATAATAAAACATAAGTATCCATTGCTGTAATATAAGACCATTTATAAATAACCTGGAAAGTTCTTTTGCACTCGTCGAGCATCATTTTAAGCTGATTCACCAGCTGATAAACCATTTCTCGACGATTCAACACCAGACAAACTGTCAGAAACCGAGCAAGGAACCTCAATTGCTTGCTGGCAAGTTTGACATCCTGATGCAGTCCATCCTTGAAATACTCCCTCGTCAAGATTGCTTCGTAAAATACGTAAGATTCTGATAAATAACTGGCCTCACCAGTCCTCATGTACTGTCCAAAATAAAGCTGCCCAATTCGGGAGGCAATCTCCCCAATCTCCCATCTCTTCAGCCCAGACTCCACCAACTTATGCCGATTCTCTTGTTGAAACTTCCATAACTGGGTATAGACCTTAAAGACTTTGTAGAAATATGTATCATATCTGGAACAGAGTTGGAAAAAATCCAATTGAAAACTTTTTCAATAAAGAGAAATAGATCAAAACTGAGGAGATCATTAATTCTAACATCATGGAAGCCACTCATATATGGATTTCAAAATGCTGAATGTATACAGCATTCCTGAGGCCATCAATTCCATACAAATGATAACATTTACCACTCCAACTCGTATTTAGTACACATAATTAAGCAAGTTGTCTAAATGGTAGTATGAGATGCTTCACAAAATAAATCAACTAGTCGAAATTGATGCTTCACTTAAACTCTATTAAGCTTCCTCTCTGAATCAAGATACTAACATCACACCACTCACATGCAACTATCAACTATGCAAGTGAATCATTCTGGGAACAGCCCAGTTTAAGCAGGATCACTGGGGTGCGATCAAGCCAAATCGAAACGCGGTCATATCATCAAAACTGCAATTCCATTCACACAGCACCAGCAAGACACGCGCGCACACACCCCTATCACAATTCTACTAAACAAATTTCCGAATGAAAGCACCCAACAAGCTGAAAATTAAAGAAGCTACAGAAACCCAATTCGACTTTTGGCGCCAAACAATCAGGGTTTTACCTAGTGCGTTGATAGTAGGGCAAATCTCGAATCTTGGCGAATTTCCTGTCGGCCTTGGCCACCAGAGCCCAATAAACCTCGCTCACCGGAATATTACTGTGGCTCCCACTCGGCAGCTGATTTTGAGTCGTTGGCTTCGTCTCTGCCATATTTGAGGGTAGGGGATTGTCACGCTACGCCATTTTTGCAAGCTGTTTTGGACATATCTACACAAATTAGCTGTAGCAGTAGTGAAATTGTTT